TAATTCTGGTAGGGTTTAGGGTTGCAGTCCCCCTAGACCTAGGTTTAAGTCTAAAGATCCTAGAAGTTATGCCGCAAGAAAGATTAGGAAGAACTCCTAAGGATAATATAAAATGAACAGAGACGCACCAAACGGTCAAAACCCTATACCTCAAACCTTGGAGATCCACAGCTGCTCACCCTAAACCCCAAACCCCAAACCCTCTACCCTAAACCCTAAGCAAGAAGAGGATCACGGGTGTAAGGTTATAGCTCCGGCTCGAGTTTCGGGTTTCAGGTTTTGGCGTTTTGGGTTTAGGGTTTAGGGATTTTGAGGTTTAGGGTTTAGGGTTTAGGGTTTAGGGTTTAGGGTGTTTGGTTTTGGGGTTGGGGTTTAGAGTTTTTTTTAACATAGGGTGTCTGCAATTCAGGGGTGGCTGGTTGGCAAGGGAGGGTGTGCGGGTAGTTCTCAAAATTAGGGTCCCGTTTTGGTACGCATAAATATTAGGGGCCGTGATATAATCTATGTTTCCAGTAAAGTCCCCTTGGTTACAGGAAAGATACTGGCTCCTGCAACATAGAAAGTTCTTCAACCTTCAAAAGCACTAGATGCGCGGCAGCAACGCGAGCCACTTGATGGAAGATCTACGCTATCATCTGGGTTGCTGTGAAGAACGACAAACTCAGTTACCATTTTGGGGAAACCATATTAATTACTGACGATCTGTCGATCTAGATGTACATATGTATATATCCATTATGGTAACTGAATTGAAGCTCCTTAACAGCAACCCAATATACCACCTACCACCATGGTCCTTCAGAGCAGCACATTCTGAATCCTGAACTCTGAACCCTGAAGCCAACATCATGAAACATAAGCCCTCAGGTCCTGAGCCCTAAACTGTAAAGGGACTTTAAGGGGAACCCAAAAACAGGGAACCCCAAGAATATAGTAGGAATATACATACCAGGGTCCTTATATTCTATTATATTCCTACTATATTCTTGGGGTTCCCTGTTTGGGGTTCCCAGTAAAGTCCCTTTAAACTGGAGCTCAGCCGGAAGCGGCCCTTCGACTTCTTCCGCAATGACGTCAAGGAAGCTGTTCTTAATCTTGACTCGCCACACCGGCTTTCTAGGTGCATCTTGGATCAGCATTAGCATTTAGGGTTTAGGGTTTAGGGTTTGGATCAGCAGGCCCGCTGCAATAGTGCACAGAAAACGAGTCGAAGTCGATCCCGGTTCGGTGGCAGTTGCCTCTTCAGTAGTCACAGGCGCGCTGCCACAGACCTGCTCAGATTTGCATGACTCTACCTTCTGAACATCCAACATGTTTTGAATCAGCCTCAACAAAATTGCTCGGGAAGCGCTAGTTGCTGTGGCAAGGAACAACATGCCAAGCGCGATACCGCTGACAGCTCTTCATGGGGTTGACAGGGCAGATAGCTGAGGAAAGCTGTACAAAAGAATGCCAACTTGGCCGACAGCGAGCTCTTGACAAGCATGAAAACCAGACTTAGTGAGGAGAAGCAACTGAGTAGCGCTTCCGAATTGTGGTTCATACTTCGCATTTCCTCAACTTCCAACAATCTGGAACTAGAGCCTTGCTCCCAAGCTGCTGCCAGGTGTAGCGGAAAGTGTATCAAGCCCTTGCCATACATAGGGCTTGAAGATTCACAGAGGCAGGTGCAGCCATGGCCGTGGCGGCAGCAGAGTTGCCCTTTAATGACCGGAGGGACCTTAGGGTTTAGGGTTTAGGGTTTAGGGTTAGGGTTTGGGGTTTAGGGTTTAGGATTACCCTAAACCAGCAACCCCAAACTCCATACCCACAAGCCCAAACGTTAAAACCCCCTACCCTGAACCACGAACTCTACCCTAAACCCGAAAAAGGCCCCACCCAAAACACAAAACCTGCAAACTTACATATCGACTCCTATATAACCCCGTCGAACCCCTTTAAAGGGTATAGTCCCCCTTAAGTAGATAGAATATGGCTTTGGGCATATAATAATAGGACCCCATATACCCCCATATTCTATCTACTTAAGGGGGACTATAATCGTAGAGGCTATAACCCTAAACCCTAAATAGTAGTTTACATGTTCTTTTCCATTATCCCTCTTTAACCCTTTTCTTACCCTAAAACCCCTATACCCCCTATATAATCCCTTTAATTTTTTAATCCCTGTAGTTCCCAGTATCCCTTTATAACCCCAATAGTACCCTAAACCCTAAACCCTAAACCCTGAACCCTAAACCCTAAACACTAAGCCCAACTACCCACGGGCCTCCCCAGGCTGCCGCGCGTTATGCGCCATGGCCTCATGCTCCTGCACCGCTAACCCCAAGGCCCCAAGGACCCAAATAATAGGGTTCCCTTTAAAGGGGTTATATATGGGGTTTGGGGTTTGGGGT